ATCTAGAGTATTTTTTTTCTTTTATTTTTTTCTAAAGATATGATTTTATGAGTCTCTCGGATTCGCCCCAACAAAACATACCATAGTTTCTCATAGAGCGACAACGAAACACTAAATAAAATCCCTTCGGCGAAAACAGTACTGAGAGGATTATATATAGGCAATGTCTCGGCCTCACAATCCCTCAGAGTATTGCTGTTTTCACGAGGCATACCTAACTTTACCAAAAGACTCATTTCCTTTATTTACTTCGAATTTCACGACACTTAGACTTTACCTACGCGTTTAATTACTCTAAGGCATTATTATCGCCTTGATAGACCGAATCCTACATGACGAGTATACTGGTCCATCAATCACACTGCAAGCGTTTATATGCGTGCATGTGGTCGCTGTGGTACTAAGAAAAGTTCACTAGTATGTGACAATTGTCAAGCAAAGGGCTACAATGCTTTTGTTTACGGTAAACGTGCCAATAAAGACATTTTCCCTCGTTCTATCATCCCATTTATTACTTGTCTTACAACCGACAATTCTACATGTCACCACAAAGACAAACTACATATCGACAGCGGTGCTGGGGTCAACGATATCCCCTCTAGACTTGCACATCTTCTTACCAATATAGAAGTGGGTAGCTTTCCACTACGCCTCGCTGATGACTCGATAACAACCTGGGGACGGACTGACTATTTATTTATTTATTTATTATATTTTCTTAAGTGGCCATCAAATTTAGTTCTAAAATATTGATTGCATGATTCTATTATTAGAGATTAATATTTCTTAAGAGGTATTAAAAAGGCACCAAAAGTGCCAACCGTCCATTTAACTAAAAGAATTGAATCTTTATTAGATTTTTAGAAATGCTTAATAAAATTTCAATGATGGCTGAGACTCGGCGGCCTATAAAAGTCGGGTGCCTCCTGACTAAGATCTCAGTTTTTTACTTGTTACTTTAGAGTAACAAGTAATAACAACCGGACTTGTAAGCTAACTTACTTTTAGTCTCTTGCGTTATAATTCAATTAGTCAATTTACTTTAGCTATTAAAGTCCATAACGGTTTATAACACACCAAAACAACACGCGATCAATGTAGGTAACTACAGTTACACTACAACTACTACCCCCCACCAACCACTTGCTAACTCAATTGTGCCTCCAGGCAGAACCTCAACCCCGACCGTTCCTGCCTGGGGCAAGACGCAAACATATGACTCCTGTCATCGGGTCATGGGTCATCTCAATCGTGCAACAGCACTCAAAATGGCTAAGAAGGCAGGCATTATACTCACATATTCATCACCACCACACATTAAGACAGAAGAATTGATGATCAATCGACAAGATGTCAAAAGGGGCCTTGTACACTTACAAGTCGAATGTGATTTCGACCTTTGTGCCAATAAGGACAGCGCATTGATGCACCTATCCGCTGGCCCGGATGCCGGTATAGTGGACGATTGAAGAAAGATCAATTTTATAGACTACAAATTATGCTATGCAATCTCCAAGTGGTCTGATATCTTTGAGATGCTGGCCGTCAACGCGGCATGTGGTACTAAACTTGTAATGGTACTTCCACTTCGTCCTTGTGCTCGATGATGGAACATATTTGTGTCCCGAATATAATCACAACCATATATTACTCAGAATGATCACATTTCTCAGACATGGTGGCGTCACCGTTGGTAAGCCATCATGAACATACACATTGATTGCTCTTGTGGGACGAATTCATACTGCTATGTCCCCAACCAAGCCATTCAATAACGCCACGAACCAACCCCGAATATCCCAAACACTGCCCAGTGTGTATTGAGGGCAAACTCAAGAACAAGAATGTGCAACACACCACCACAGACACACCACACAATCTTGGTGAGCAATTAAATATGGTTCTAGAAGGCCCTATGCCGGCTGATTGCAATGGAAATAAATACACTCTCAATATGGTATGCGATGGCAGTAAATATGGGATACACTCCCTTCTTTCTTCCAAACAAAATATGCACAAGCACATTAAGTCACTTATCGCACAAATTCTACGCCAGTGAAAACCACTTACAATTGTGGCCGATGGGGACTCAGTATTTTAAAGTACAGACGTCATTCTCCTCAGACGCTTGCCCCCCAACACACCTCAATTGAATGGGTTAGATGAACGTACACACGAAGCCTTCAATGAACTGACACGCACTGCACTTCTTGACGCAGGCATACCATTGCCTATTTGGGGTTATGTAAAAACTTGGGCGGACTGGCTCCGTATCACGACACTTGCCACAAAAAGCAACCACAACACCCCACACGAAATATTTCATCAACAAAAACTTATTCGTGATCCCACTGCACGTTTTCGATGCATTGTAGCATTTCGATTGTCTGGCGATACACTAAAAAAGACACATAAGTACAGCACACGTGTTGGTCTCGTTGTATTCCTCGCATCCAGAATCTTGCCACTCAACACATCATCAACTGCCGTGATGTACGCTTTTACACCAACGAGAACGCACAATGGTCCAAGGATGGTAAGCGTGCTACACGCTCTAACAACTCCACCTCATGCACCATTCCGACATTATGACACCGTAACAATAACACTAGCCACGTTCACATACATCCCAAGTCACACCCCGTCCCTGACATCGATTCCACACCTCCCCCGGCTACAACACAAACTCACAACTCAACATCCGCAACCACACATACGCCACAGGCACCCGATGTCATGCTGCCCACCCTCACAATGTATGACCCCGCTACTACTGAACATACCTCCATACCGGCGCGGTCTACAGCTCCTGAGCCAGTCCACGTCTCTGCTACTCCACAACCAGCTTCCGATGATCTCTCGGCTGATACTTCTCTGGTGCCAATTATCCAGTATTCCCAGCTTTCCTGCCCCAGCTCAACCCCATGATTAGTTTCATGATGCGCTCGACAATGAATTCCCATCACCTGACAACTCTACACTCAACAATCATGGTTCTTGTACATCTCACTCGCACACTTCGAGCTCTGATTAACAGTCAATGTTAGACACATCACCCAACTCTTCTTCCCGCGCCGGCCTGGTGGGCTTCGTCGCTGGACACATATGCACAATCTATTGCACGCAAACAAGCAATACTTACAACGTACACATCAACGAGCAATTCTTGACGACTATGAACTTCGTTCTCGCAATACTATTCCACCCACACCTTCACACCGTCCGCAACATTCACAACTTCCTGCATCGGTTGTTACACCACTCTCACAACCAATCACACACTCACAATCGTCACCGGACTCCACAAAATCATCATACACACCCACACCTGCGGGCAATGTCCCACGTGCCATCGAATGGCCGAGTCTATTTGATGTTGTGTCGGAACTTCCATATTCTCCCAATACTCGCCCATCTGACATACCGTCCCGGCGACCGGTGCACTCCACTCCGTTACCACCTAGCCCACAGCCACCATTGACACCACATCCTACTCTGGCTTCCCCACTCCTGCACCATCACGTGCGGAACCGGTAATTCATCCAACCGCGTTTTCGGTCATTCCCACCACTCGACCCGAGCCTACCGTACTCGAAATGGCATCACTTCTTGACGATAGTGTCCCTAAATTAATCCCTGCCGCTATGAAACTCAACAATTGGCCACTGTGGCAGACTGCCATCACGAAAGAATATAACGCCCATGTTCGCAACAACCTCTCTGATATCATAACACACGATACTGTACCGGCACACGCCAAAATAATACACTTTAAATATGTATTTGCTCGAAAGTATGATGAACACGGACAACCAACCGTATATAAAGCACGCATGGTTGCACGAGGTGACGAGCAAAAGAAGGGTGACTCATGCTTGGTACACATTTGCACCAGCTGCATCCGCCGTTGCACTCCAACTGCTCATTGCTGCCGCAGCAGCTTCTGGCAAGGTCATTCACCACTTTGATGTTGATACAGCTTTTCTCTACTGTAAAATTGATACACCAGTATACATGTACCCCCCCAAAGGTGCCATTGAACTTGAATCTGTGCTTCGTCTTAAACGTGAACTATACGGGCTTAAACAAGCCGGACGCCTATGGAACTTTGATATTAGGGACACATTAAAATAAAATGGCTTCACCCAAAGCGCTGCCGACGAGAACATTTGGAACCACACCACAAGAAACATTACAGTCATTATGTATGTTGACCAAATTTGCCCTGCCACCCTCCCCAATACCAACGACAGCAAAAGACCTCGGTCTTGTGAAACACTTAGTGGGCCTTCTTGTAACTCAACATCTCAACGAATCTCTCAGTATTGACCAACATGCATACATCGAACGTATGCTGCATACATTTCAACTCACTGATCGCAATCCAAAACATACACCTGGCTGCGACACACACTCCGGCCACCTTGATGGGGCACCGTACACTGGCAAATACCGTCGTTTACTTGGCGCACTGGCGTACGCAGCAATCATGACACGCATTGATATTGCATGCACTCTCAACATGCTTGCATCATTCAACACACAGCCACTACCGTCCCACTATGAGGCACTCGAGCGTATACTTCTATAACTTGGAACAACCAAACAATATCGCATCACATACAACCCATTCAACAACCGCAAGGGACGTGAGGCAGATGTTCTTGTTGCTTACACAGACTTAGACTGGGCAACGTGCCCCCTCACCCGCAAGACACACTCAGGCATGCTCATATGTCGCAATAACTGACCTGTCTTTTGGAAATCTCAGCGTCAGAAGGTGTCAGTCCTAGCTCTGGAGAAGCCGAATACATGGCGGCTTCGGGAACTGCTCGAAACATAGCATGGACACGCAACACTCTTGCAGATTTACGCTGCTACCCCCATCAGCCTATATCCCTCCACATAGACAACCAAAGTGCAATTAAGATTGCACTTGGCACTGGCACGCCAAAGGGACTCAAACATATAGACATCCGCCACCACTATCTGCGCGACTGTGCTCGCCGCCACAGCTCAACCTTCACGACATCGAGAACCCCGCGAAATTACATACAAAGAGCCTTGGCCACACTAAGCACGAGAAGTTCACCACCATGCTAGTAGACACACGCTAACACAAACACACACCTTCACACACACACAACGCACCAACACATACACACGCACGCTATCTAACTAGTGCGAGACTGAAAGGAACTTTCTCTTGTACCCGGCTATACATACATACCCTGGCACAAACATCACCCAGCCACATCATCCAGACAGCACCCCTGAAGCCCTGACCACTTTCGTCTCTCCAATTCAGTCTGTCATCAATTTTACCTGCCAATCACAAAAATTACATCCAGTCATCAATTTTTTACCCAATCACAAAAATTCATTCTCCTGGCCAATCATAATCACACTCCAGCGACAATTCCCGACTCCTCGCGAATTTTCCCCTACTTCGAGAAACCTGTTCTAGGTATCAGGGAGGGTGTACAAGTCTAAACTAACGTAACCATTATTGAATTTAAATGGTAACAATCAAACTAATAATGTTTTTAACAAGATCAAGAATTAATTCCTTAATCTTATCATTTGGTGGCGACGCTGGGCTTAATATATCATCGTCAAATTGGTCCTTTATAGGATCCATTCCGTTTGGTAGGCCCATAAGGGTTATCCCAAACGATAATAAGTCATCCATATCAATGATACGATCATATGATTAGACATCTCTCTTACTAGATCGGTCTGAACCATTCGATGATCTAACAATGTGATATTAGTATCATTGGCTTTCTCATAACATACAAGTTCTTTCTCGTTCGGCAGAATAATATGCGTATTCTCTAAAGAAGTTTTCAAAAGTGTTACACGATGAGAAAGACATGATATTTGAGAACCAGGATCTAGTAACGCATTAACCTTTATTCCGTTAACGAAAACTGGTAATATAATACGTTTGTCTTCTTTAGAAGAAATCCTCTTGACCGTCGCCACGTGGTATCAATGCTGAGTCGTTCCCTTGGGATCATCCTTTGAAGGCCTCTTCTTAATTTGAGCTCTCGGTATTGAAGTACAGGAAGTAGTATGCATTCCATGCGTCTTCTTGCAAGTTGTACTTTCTAGTGCGTGTTTGCAAGAATATGTTTACCATAAAAATTATGTTTTGATGTAAGACACTGTCACATTCAACACACAACGCATACTTAGTTATAAAAATTTTCTTCTGTTGTTTTTGTTAAGTGTTCGGCTCCTTTTGGAGTACTTGTCTTGGTTGTGCTCGCTCACGAACTGCTGCTGCATACGTACCTTTGTCTAGTTTAGTGTTAACACTAGTTTTAGATGTAGTCGTATGAGTCTCTGAAGGCTTCTCAGTTGGCTGCATAAAGCGGTGTTGTGTCCATTCTTCGACTGTAAAATCTTTAACGAACATATCCCACGTAAAATCAGTCAAGTCTGCTGACAGTTTTCGGTTTTA